GGTTCAGGGAATCTCGTAGTCGAGCAGTCTCGACTAGAGCTTTCTTACTTGTTTTATTTAATCTCTAAATATTTGTACTTTTGTAGATGCATGCACTAAAATACTAAAATACTACAGAGAGCAGTCAATGCAAGTAATCCTGCTGTCAAATGCACTGACAGTGCTCCATTGCAGCCGAGGTTATTCAGACTGATAACATATTGCGCTTCATCAGGTGTTTGGCACGCGGCTTGATCACACGAAACATGACCAAAGCCCTGTGCCTGCACTGAGAAGAACAGCGGAGGACAAGGCTCATAGTCGTAGCCCACACAGGCATCCGTCAAATCATAGCTAAATGGGCCCAAGGCCGTGCTCTCACAACTCTCGTCCTGGCGCAGCGGATGGCTGGCGTTGCGAAAAGGCAACTCGATGCTGCGCGAGAAGCAGACACTAAAAGTGATCTGACTGATGGGTGCGATCTTTAGATATCGCATGCTCTGCCTGTTGGGCATGTAGAGAGCATCCAGCCGGTAAAAATTTATGGTATTGAGACGTCCGTACTGCTCCAAGGAGTTTAGGCCATACTCAGTAATGGCTCCGTTCGAAGAGCAGCGTGGATTCCAAATGCGACGTGGAACTGAATGAAAATTAAAGAAAATTGTAATGAATACATAAGAAACTACTTACTTTGACGTATACGCTGAATGACTGGCGCTCCACATTCTTCCGGTGGCTTGTTCATGTTCAGCAGAAGCAAATCCCTTTTGGGCTGCCGCACAAAGTCGTGAAACCTGACCAAAGCACCTCCTCCATAATAAATAAACTCCACATGTGGCAGACTATAGCGCAGGCGCTTCATATAGCGCACACAGTAGTCGTAGTCGTTCTCATCCACAAACGACGTGGGACTAGGCACGAGCAGCGCCACCAGAGAACGTCCGCCCAGATAATCAGTGGCGCGCTCTGCTGCCAACAGCTCCTCTACGCGAGTGCTGACGGTGTTCAGAATTAGGGGTAGATTGAAGCCGGCTGGGTCTATTCATAATTATAAGATTGAACTATGGGTCTGCTATAGCTCGATTAAGAAGAATTGCTTACGCCAGTAGTGCGTCGTAAGGTTCCATTGCTGGTACACGTCTACAATATAGTCGGTTGTATTCACTATAACTGAAGCATCGGAAGCAGCAAAAAGTGTTACTGTGCTTGCATATGGATGTATGTTGAGATTCTGCAACACGTAACTGCGGGGAAATAATTTTAGGAATCAAGAGAGTAACTAATATTTTATTGATCAAAATCGGGCGAAACTTTCAGCATCCTCAATATCAGTCTTAAATGAAGCTGAGTTAACAATCACTTATTGAAGTATTTATCTAATACTATATTCACCTCATTAATCGTGATCAAATCAAAAATGTAACATTTTTCAATTTGAGCAGTCAGTTAGCCGTAAGTCTCACGGATTGGAATCAATCAGTCAATCAATCAGATGTATAGAACGTTATACTTACGCTACATAGTCGACTATCCAGTAGTACGGCCAATTGGTATCCACAAATACAAAGACGTTTGTCTTTATCGTGGTCATATTGGAGATATCGGACGACTGTTCGAACTGAAAGCTGTCCATGATAGCTATAATAATATAAGCGAATAGATAAATAATATAATTCAGATAAGACAATCAATCAGTATCGAACCACTTGGGAAATCTCTAAAGCGGAAATTAAAACAGGCTTTTTAGTTCTAGTGGGTAGACTTTATTTGCGAATTTCTCACTGGAACTTATAACTTAAATAAAAAAATTACGATAATAAGGGAGGGTTATGGTGGGCCATACATACAGATGTGTTGTGTAGTAATTTGAACTTTTATGTGGGCAACTATGCGTGCCGACTACTGCAGAGAGCGCTGCAATACCAACGCCAACAAAATGGTCAGCAGACTCGCGGCCAGGCCGGAAACCCCGCTGTAGCAGCCCATGTTGACCGAGGCAACGATGTAGCGCCATTCATCTGGCGTCTGGCAGGCATCCTGCGTACAGGACGTAGTATTCAGAGAGCCCGGCTGGACAGACAAGTAGAGAGGTGGACACTGTGTGATAGTGTAGTAGCCACCGCAGGCATTCGACAAATCATACGAGTAGCTGTTGCCGTTGATCTGCACGCAGCTCTGATCCACGCCGTTGTTGGTGGAGCTGCTGGAGTTCTGCTGTGGCCACTCGTAGGTGCGCGACGAACAGATGGTAAAGGCGCCTCCGTTCTGGGACTGAATGGTCACCACACGGTTGGTGCCAGTTCCGAAGAAATAGTTGGATGCAACGCGATAAAAGTTAATTTTACCGGGACGCACGTATTGGTACATCTGGTCAGTGCCCCAACTTGTGGTATACCACATAGAGCCACACCGCGGGTTGATAATACGACGAGGTACTGCAAAACAGTATAACATATACATATATTAGCATGTGATTGAAAGCTAGCTCAAGGACTGAACACTTACTCTTCACTATACGCCTGGCCACGGGTCCAGCCGATGTGGCCACGGTGCTGCCCGTCATCAGAGAGAACAGATCCTTCGTCGGGTCCCGCACAAAGTTAGAGAAGCGCTGAATATTGCCACCACCATAGTAGATGAAGCGCAGATCGGGGATCTGCTCATATATGTACTGCAGTTCAGTTGTCGCGTAGTTCGAATCGCCGTCGTTCACGTTCGCTTGATTCGGTATTATCAGTGCCACCAAGGAGCGACCGCCAACGCTCGAGTTGGTCTGCTCGCCATTCAAAAGCGTTTGGGTCAGGTTTTGAATCGTGCGAAGAACAGTCGGTAGATTGAAGCCTTGTTGTACTGTAATTAAAATATTCCTCAGTTAGGTTTGATCTCCGGAATCAAGTGAATTGCAAACTCACAATTCGACTGTACAGTGGCATTCCATTGTTGGTAAACATCAGTCACATAGTTCGTGGTGTTCACTATAATCGAGCCATCAAAGGCAGATAACAAGGTCACAGAACTGGCATAGGGATGTATGTTCAGCTGCTGCAGTACGTATCTGGGGAAGAAGAAGTCAAATGAGAACTTGTGCTGGTAGGAGCTATCCATAATGCTTACGCTACGTAATCCGCAATAGCACTGTACTGCCAAGTAGTGTCCAGGAATACGAACAAATTGGTCATGGGTGTGATAATATCCGACAGATCCTGAGTGTTGCTGGCGGTGCAGGAGACATCGTTCAAAGATTGAGCTGTACGTGGATAATGCAAAATATAAAAGAGTGCTAGTGTAAAGAGTAGCTGAGGAAGATTGGAGGAAAGTTAAACAGTATCTAAATTATTAACTAAAGCTAAAGCTCAAACATTGCTAAATACTTAAAGAACAGCATGAAAATAAGTGCCGAAGAACATTGATTTTCGGCAGGAGGGAAGGAAACCGAACTGACGTCCTAAGGCTAAGTCTAGTTTTTCCCAAGTGGTTCAACGCCATATAGATAAGTAAGTGCTACTTACGCACATAGGTGACAAGCGAGAGGGACGCCGTTTGAGCGAATTGCGCAATCGCTGGCGGCTGAATGGTTACGCGCAGCTGCATTCCCTTATCGAGTACCTGGGCAAAGGCGCTCGTCTGTGCCTGCATTTCGGCTGTGGGCGCTACATTGGGGAACTGCTGCTGGCGACTGCAGGCCTGGATACCAGAGCTCAACACGCCAGTCGAGGAGTAGTACATGCGCAGCAACTGCGAGAGCTTCAAGCTGGACGCCTGGGTGCGCCAACTGTTAATGTTCTTGGCTATGATGAGGCCGTCAAGGCCACCACGAATCTCGGCATCGGTTGCCTCCAAATTGTTTCGCTGCGACAGGAAATACCAGTGCGGTAGCACTGTATCATTCCAACCACCTGTGGCGCCCACTGTGGCTACATTATTAGGCGAAACTGGCACCTGGACGAGCGTCACCTCAGCCAGATCGCCCGCAAGCGTCGCTGCCCAGCGATTGTCTACGTAAGAGGTACCCGTTTGAGACTGAGTGCGGCCACGTCTGGCGAGTTGCAGCAGGGTATTCACCGGGACATTTTGCTGCTGCAGTCCTGTTGCGACACCTGCTATTAGACTGCCCGCAGAGACGGTGCCCCATGGCGTGCGCACGACTCCGTCTTCCACAGGACACTGACTTTGACCCTCGGTGCCCGCATAGGCCCAATCCGTTTCGTAGTCCAGCTCGCCCATCTGCACATAGTTGGAACCAGTACGCGTACGTTTCGGTCTGATATCTAGCCACTCGGCATCCCCAAGGAAATTGCTGCTGGCATCTTTTTTGAGAGCGCGCGGCAAGCGCTGAGCGCGGTACTGAGAGAGCTGTCCGCACACGGTATTCTCATCGCCTCGCTGCCTCGTATCGAAAGTGCTGGAGAGCATGAAGTGCAAGGAACAGCGCTCCGTGCTGGTCAGCGAGCTGTTCGGAAAGTTATTTGCATTGCCGGGTAGCAGGCTAGATAGCAAAATTCGTAGTTTGGGAAACTGGAAGCCCGTCGGACTGTAGGGTATAACCCCACTCACGGGAGTAACACCCGGTGCTCGTCTGATGCCGTCCTGGCGAAAGCGATGCAGCAAGGCCACGGCTAGGGTGCGAATGTCCACCTGATACCCCGTCGCCGTATAGCTCTGCTCGACCTTCTCAATGAGAGAGATCAAAGTGTCCATGTTGGATGGTAGGCGGTTGTCTCGGTTCATGAAATACGACGTATTATAGCATTCGATCAGTGAGGGTGGGATCTGTAGTTGGGCATTCTCCTGTGCTTGCACTGAGCCTATAGCCATGAGCAACCCCAGGCAAAGGCAGACAGCGGCTGCCTTGAATTGTGCAACTAGCATGCCGTGGCTCCTTCTTAGTTTCGTTATCAAATGGGTTCGTTAAGGGGCTGCAAGTAGTAGGTTAGTGTTAAAAAATTCAATTAGAACAGGTAGGTATGAATAGGTCAGATGTCTACCCTTTCTTTTAGAATAGAGACAATATAAATCACCACCTGACGGTACTGCCTGGAATTTTGGTAGCTTGAGTATAAATCAAATGTTTAGAATACGTTCGGGCAGGTTAGTACGAACTACCATTCTATAGCTTCTGTTCAAGATTCTGTCCAAGTTTAGTTACAAAACCATATATCACTTATCGAACTGGCCGTGGCCCAAAAATAATACTAAAATAAATGCCTCAAGCCAAGTTGAGTCAGCGTCCGAATGGCTTACGCCTGCCCACACACAGATAAGAGTTCTCGCCCATTGTATCCACTGCGTACAGGCTGGGCCTTATCGCTAGCCCCAGCCCCAGTCCCAGTCCCAGTCGCAGCCAACAATTACTCGTGTTTGATTTACGCGCAAGTGTAAACTTTGTTATCCTTATCACAATGCAAACATTTACACACAGTCAACCGCTTTTCGGGTTTTCAGTTGTCTGAGTTGGTGCGTCGCTCGGTTGCAGGTGCAAGAATATTGATCAGATCTGATCATTACTTTTTTACTAAGTAAATTCATTAGTGTCACTTGTGACATGCCGCATTCCGACTGAAGATATCTCAGTGTAGAATACATCTTAGAAAAAGACTGAGCAATTTTTTAAAGTTCTCGAGAGTAGAATTTGATAATAATTGGAAATTATGTAAACCTCTGTGGTATGCATGCCACAAATTAGTTAGTTTAGCTTAAGAGGGTGAGTGCCACAGAATTGATTCCAAAACTGTTTCTCAAATGAAATGATCTCGTGGAGGCACTATTTCTAATCGGTAAATGAGTTCATTTAGATATCTATCAATGATGCGTCACTTCCTGTCTAGGTCGACATTTACCAGGCTTTGTCAACTTTGTGGATTGATGTGGAGCAGGGAAATGCCAGAAAAAAGTAAAATATATATATTTTTCTATATATTCCTTCTATATAAAAGAAGACTGATGTCATGTCTGACGCACAGTAATATACTTTTTATCGATACAAATCTAAAATGTATATTATAAAACACTATTAGGGCATGAGTCAAATCGCCTTGATATGCCGCTTATATACATACATAGGCACACACGATTTCGTTTATCAATTCATTATCAGTTGCACAGAAAGAATTTATTCGTAATGCCATAGATTGGCACCGTTAGTTAGTTAGTTTTATGGCAAAAACTCGCTCAGCTATTCATATAAAGCCCCGAGTATCGCTACGCGTGAGTCAGCTGGAATACCAAAACCATGGGCCTTGTAACGGAACGGCTATTGCACAAGTTACAGATAAAATAGTTGGTAGAAACACACATTTATATACACATATTTGTATACATATATAAAGCTATGTACTTTTATATTACACTCAACTGCGATTTTTCATAAGATAAGATAACATTTGATTGTTTAAACACAGTTAGGCAAAAGTTATTTAAAATGGGGCGTTTTCCAAGCAAGTAAAATTGAAGTAGTTTTTACACTTATTTAACTTTAAAAGAAATAAGTATTGTCATTACTTTGCACAATATATTGGCTAACACTAATTTGAACTGACATTTGTTTATATATATATATATATATATATATATATATATATATATATATATATATATATAT